TCCCTTGACCAGAAATCTTTGCTTAAATCTAGTGATTGAATGATTCAAAGCCTGATTTATTTACTGCTATTTTAGATGAAAAACATAGGTTTTCATAGGCATTTCAGTCTAATGCAATGTCAGTTAAATAGGTCTCAAGGGAAAGAAACAACTGCTTTAGGCTTACATAGTTTGCATTTAAAAAAGTCAAAAATTTCAGAACATGGTTAGTTACAAAGTATATTTTTGATAAAGCCAGCTTGAATACTGCATTGTGGATAACAAGGTTAAATAAAGGTTCTAATAAGACAAACAGCGACAATTTAAATAAATCAGATGTTTTTGTCGAAGATTACTCTGTGATTTTCTCCAATTATTCATGACATTTCACCCATTCATATTGTGATCTGCTTTAATAGTGGAAGGGAAAAAAAAAAAACCTTGTCTCCTTGTTTATTCTTTGTTCTCAAGGAGATAAGCTGTTTATAAAGATACGTTATTTGTTATTTAAATCACTTTTACTGAAGTTGTTTATTTCCTTGTTTCAGTTTCTAAAAATATTGCAACAATTGTAATGCTTCTTAGAGATGTCTATTCAATTCAGAGTGATTTGTACTGAAATTCTTTGCTAAATGGGCACAGGTGCTGATGTGTACAACATGCTAGAGTGAGTCAAAACTAATAAATGCTGAAAAAAATAATGGGGATATACTTGTATTAACTTTTGAAAACTGATCAAAAACATTTTGGACCCAAAGACCTGGGTATTTGTAAAAGTCTACCTTTATACGTCTCAATTTATAAGTATTTAATAATAGTAATAAGAATAATGATAATAATAATAAATATAACACCAATCTATAGACAAATTGCATAATTTAAATCCAGAAATCTATTTCTTGGAAAATGCCTTTTAATTATTTTTGCAGACTTTAAAGATCATAATTATTATATAAAAGTAGACATTAAAGAATGATTTACCTGATAGTAAAATATCAAATTAAAGCTGAAAATAAGCAATTATATTTAAAAAAATTGTTGAACAGCAAATGTGGGAAATTACATCTCCTGCTTCTCTTTCTGTGATTCATAAAATTACCTCCAGAATAAATATTGGTAATTTGATAATATTCTACATAGTAGGATAGTATACAACTCTATATTAACATTTCTTACATCACAATCTAGAAACTTAAACCAGGGCTTATGCCAGATAATATATAGGATTGATACATGAAATAAAGTTGAGTAGATTTGCTGTTTTGTGGGACAGTTGATTATTTCCAAGAACTAAAGCTTCAAAATTCAGCTGAGTTGATTTGGACTAAAGAAATGAAAGTCTGGTACCATAAATTATAGTATATATCCCTGCTGAGTAAACTCTGGTTATGTAAACTTGGATCTGTGGTCACACATCTCATTTGAAGTTGATGAGAACTGCTCAGCTAAGTGAGACACATGCTGGGAAAATTAGGCCCTGACAACTGGTGTGTATAGACAGTGGAATTCTTGTGATGCTTTTTTTTTTTATTTGGTCCCTTAGTTTTCTCCAGTCTTGGTTTTGGCAAGGAACACTCAACTTTGGAATGAACATTTCTTGAATTGGGTAAGTCCATGACTACAAAGTATTCAGGTTTTACCCTCTAGAGAGAGCTTAGCTTTATAGCTTCTCTGTTATCGGTACAGTTAGGTAAATAAAATGCATTTTGATTTAAATTTATCCAAATAAACTCCGCAAATGTCCATTTGAAAACATAACCATCCAGCTGATTTCTTTGAAGTCTAAGTCAAATCATAGCTAGTTTTGAGTGTTGTCAGCTGGTATAAGTACTAATATTTAAGAGCAAATAAGTTTATAGAATTTTATCACTGCATCTTTAAGTTTTAAAGATTGGCTACATTTAGCTTTACTTTAGTTCCTCTGAATAAGCAGTCTACAGAACTGAAAAACAATTCAGTCTATTTGGTTGTATGCATTATATCAAATCCAACTATTCACATAACAAAACTAAATTGGTTATGACCATCAATGAGTAGAATTTAAAAGTATATATAGCAGGCTCTATTTTTTGTATATTTATATATACATGGGGTGGGGGAGAAAGAGAGAGAGACAGAAAGAGAGGGAGGGAGGGAGGGCTGATGTAAGGGCTACTTGAAAAGATTTATTTATTTATACATACAAGAGCTGGGGTATAGGCCAGAGGTGTAGGGGGAGGGATGTTAAAAGGGTTCACCAGAGACAGAGTGGGGAGCAGAAACAGGTGGATGAACTGAAATACACTGCTGAGGGGAGCAGCGGGTGAGACAGGAGAGGCCTACTGTGCCATGTGGGCTAGTTCCCTGGCAGGGAATTGGAACTACTGTTTCAGTGGCTGCCAATAGCTTCTTAGCACTGAGATTTAACCCCTTGGACCACCAGGGAGGTCCAGGATCATTGAATCTTAATATGGGAAATGGCTGGGTTAAAATCTGAAGATCTCTATGGTTCCTTGAAGATATAGAAATATTTTTTCTCATTACATAAGGATATTGATCTAAGTGAAGTTTTTCCCTCTATAATAATAAATACCAGATATATCTGAAGTACTAAACCTGGAATAGTCTTGTAGTTTTCCTGGAAATAGTAAAATTCAATTACTAGTTTTTGTAATTACTTTGATTAATATGATTTTTTCTAGTAAAAAATATCAGAATTTAGGAAATAAAGGAGGGGTGAGAACTGGGAGTGGGATCAGCTTTCTGGTTTTTCTAAGATAATATGTATGGAGGGTCATGAAAACAAATGAGATTATTTTAAAAGTCCCCCATGATATGTTTTCTGGCCCTAAATCATTTGAAGCCAAATTTGATTTCCTTAAGTTTCATAACAAAAAATTGTATTTATTTTGTAGACAGAAGGGAGGCAATGCAAGTTTAGAATCTGTGAAGGGATGTGGTCAAATAGGTTAAATCTTTGGAAACAAACTGACAGCAGTCTGCAGACATAGCACCAGTTAAATGATTGTGTTATAGGGCAGGGAGAGAGGGGGGCACCCTGAACCCCCAAACCTGCCTGCTCTAAATAGGTTCTGCCATCTGCTACATCAAGACAAGATATAAGCGCTTTAATGGAAAGGAACTTTAATACAAGTATACAACACAGAAGACAAAGAATATAGTTTCTAAATCAAACACCCAAAGTTACCCATCCCCTCATGGGTAAAAGTCAACCAAAAAGGGATTGGCCCAAAGCAAGGCCTGAAAGCCCGCCACAAGACTAAAGCACCTTCTGGCAGGGACCCATAGAAAAGGGTCACACATGGCCAGACAAGTCTGGGAGGAAAAGAGCAAAATCAAAATTAAGATAAAAGCTGCCATAGTCAGCCTCCCCACGGGTCTCTCACCAACATGTGTTTCAACCTGCCGAGGGCCAAGAAACAAGCACGATTTCTTCATTGCAAGCTCTCTGCTCCAAGTGGCTTCCTCAGGTCTCCTTCTGGCTCTCCATCCTGCTTCCTTCCTCTTCAGATTCCTTCTTTTCTCTGCTCAGCTCCACCCTCCTTCTGGGTGGGGCAGGGAACCTGGAACTTCCTCTTTTCCTGGGGACCACCCTGTTATAATTGTATTAAATGGCATAAGACCCAAAGATGGTGATGGATTTGAGCCATATTAAAACCGCAGATTCAGTCATCTCTGGCGAGGGATTGGATGTGAATGATAAGGTAAATCTGAGATTACAACTTTGTTTGCAGAGTTGGGGGAGGCTAGGGAGTTGGTTGGGCATTACAGTTATTGTAACAGGGTGGTCCCCAGGAAAAGGGGAAGTTCCAGGTTCTCAGCCCGACCCAGAGGGAGGGTTGAGCTGAGCAGAGAGAAGGATCTGCAAGAAGAAGGAAGCAGGATGGAAAGCCAGAAGGAGACCTGAGGGCTCCGCATGGAGCAGGGAGCATGTGAGGGAGAAACCGTGCTTGTTTCCTGACTCTGGACTGGTTAAGGCAGATGTGGGCGAGATACCTGTAGGGAGGTGACAATGGCAGTGTTTATATTGATTTTGATTTTGCACTTTTCCTCCCAGATTTGTCTGGCCATTTCTGACCCTTTTCTATGGGTCCCTGCCAGAAGGTGCTTTAGTCTTGTGGCAGGTTTTCAGGCCTTGCTTTGGGCCAATCCCTTTTTGGTTGACTTTTGCCCACGAGGGGATGGGTAACTTCAGGTGTTTGATTTAGAAGTTATATTCTCTGTGTTCCGTATTGTATATTCACTGTATTAAAGTCCCTTTTCTTATAGTTATATGTTTTGTCTTGACGCGGCAGATGGCAGAACCCACTTAGAGCAGGCAGGTTTGGTGCTTCAGTGGTGCCCCTCTTTCCCTGCCCTGTAACAATTGTATTAAAGTTCCTTTCCATTAAAGTTCTTATATTTTGTCTTGATGTGGCAGGTGGCAGGACCTATTTAGAGCAGATAGTTTTGTGGGTTCAGGGGTGCCCCCCTCTCCCTGTCCTGCAACATTATTATAAAGAAAATGGCACAGGACATGTAGCAAATTATATGTTAAATTTCCATTTCTCCCACAAAAAATCTGGATAAGGAACACGAAAGCAAGAAGTATATAGGTAAATATAGACATCATGCCACATTAAAAATAACTTTATGCTATTTGCATACAAACAGAAAGATACTTTGCCAGAGTTGAACTTGATACTGGGGGCCAAGAAATAATTGCAGCTACTGTTTAGGGAAGTGTGAGGATGATTAATACATCTCATTACCATAGAAGGGGCCCCTGGGGAACCCACATTTATTTAGGTTTCGGAATCTAGGTCAGGTAACTAATGGACTCGTGGGTGACCAGACCAGACGTCATAATTACATACTAATTGCCTGATAGGGTTTGGGGCCCCACCCGCCAGGCGCCCGGGCCAGGTCTGCCTCGGCCAGGTAGAGCTGTCCCTCCTCCAGTGCCTGGCTGGTACGCCCCGCCCACGCCGCTGCCGCACTGCATGCCGGGAGTCGTAGTCCCGGCTGTCAGCGTCCGTAAGGACCCAAGGGCACGGGCGTCCAGCCCGCCTCCTCGGTACTAGAGGTCACGCTCCTCTGCTGCTCCTGTATCTCGGGCGGAGCCTCCCGCGAGCACGACTGGATTCGTTTGTTCCACCCTCTTCTGGGTTTCAATAAAGTTTTCCTCTTCCCGTGTACGGAGCTCAAGATGGCGGCCTCCTGGTCGCCCTTGGTTACCCTGCGCTTAGTGCAGAGCCGGCTGAGAGGGAGATGTTTTGGGTGCAGGGCCTGGGCCGCTGCTCTCACCCCTCCGGTCACCGCCCCTGGAAACCCCCTTTGGAAAGGTCAGTGACTGGGCCTTGAATAGGCCGAGCTGTCTGCTTATGACCAGAGAGGTCTCGGGTCAGTCACCTTTCCTCCTTCCTCTCACCTGTTTGGTCTCCTGGTTTCATAGTTTTAGGAGTTAAGGGTCCCGCGAGAGGAGTTTCAGCCTCTCTTGCCCTGCTAATGCCGACCCACGAAGACGACTTGAACACTGAGGCAGATGGTTCAGAGTGACTTTAATTTTGAGGGTCAGAGGTCGACTCAGAGTTGTTACCTTTCGCGTTAGATCTGGCGCGCCCAGGTGTGGGAGTGTCAGGCTTCCGGAGGTGAGGGTGTGGGGTTCATAGCGGTGAACGCCCACACTGCGTGATCCCAAGGTCTGGGGCCTTGTGACCTGGCACTGCTCTAAAGCCCATGCCTCAGACCCCTGTAGGCCCATCTGGCTCTCTGAATTCTGGGAACTCGAGTCTACAGCATTCTGATTGGGGGATCTATTTGACAGAGCTAGTGGGGGTGCATTTTGTCAAGGGCCTTTTTTTTTTTTTTCCCTCGCCTTTCGTTTATTTTGCATTCAATAATGAATCTCTGTTTTGAGTGACCAGACCGTATTATTAATGTCTCCCCCATCCACATACTTAGGTTTTTCCTTTTCTCCAAGCATCCCCTCTGAATATGTCAATAAATTCTCATTGATTTATTTATCTAAAATTGTATCAGCCTTTAACTATGATTCTCAATAGAGCTGACATTAGTACTAGAATTGTTTAAATTACCACAGGGTTTTCTTAACATTTCAGCATAACTCAATTTATGTAATGAGATATTTTGATCCCATAAGTTCATAATATAAGCTGTATTTTTCATTTTTGAAAATATGCAATAGAAGCAAATGGTAACAAAGTTAAAAATGTATAAAAGTAATGCTTTAAAATGTAAGACTTTATTCTACTCCTGTCTCTTAGCCACTTGATTTTCCTTCCCAGTGGCAACATCTAATACTGGTTTCTTATGTATTCTTTCAGACATTTTGTATATGTACTATGTATATGTATATAAATATCTGCATTTTGAAAAAGTGGAAATGATAGTACACCAACACCCTCTTCTATTTTCTTTGATTTTCATTTAGTTTATCTTGGAGATCATCCCATATCAGTATGTATAGGCCTATTCTCATGATCCTCACTTTGGAGATAATGAATCCAAGGATGTAGGAGTTATATAGTTAGTTAAGTGGCTGAAGTAGTGGATTCAAGGATAGGCTGTTGAGGTACTTTTTTACCTTGTACTCATGCTAAATTCAAAATTTAACTAGTTTTGGGTGTGGAGATTTGAGAAAAATGCAGTTAGGGTTATGACTGATTTAAGGATCTAAAGGTCCTTCCTACCTCTCTTTAACTAAAAATAAAAGGAAAAATATAAGTTAAAATGTGTGGGTAGCATTGGCTTAATGTTAAGAGAAGGAAATAGGTAAAGGGAAGGAAGAACAAAGCAAAAATATGACTTTGACTTTTTATGTTTTATTTAAGTATTATTTTCAGCTCTAATTCCATGATATTTTAGAAATTGAAACTTTGAAAACTTTAGGGGTCCTATAATGCTGTTCATCCAAGTCCCCTACTTGATTGCCTGACTTTAAACTCCTTAGGAGATACAGCTTTATGATGCAACATTTTGGGGATATATGTATTTCTATTAATGAGATTATTAAGCAATTGAAAGTGAAATTTGCTGTCTTATCTAATTGAAATATTTATGTGCTCTATTTTGATTTCACTTCCTGTTTTCTTTTAGTGTAAGTATGTCTTCATTTAATGCAACATTTTCTTAAACTGTAGACAATTCTAGGAAGTCATTTATTAGAAATCAGATTGGCCATGGTGTGGTGGAAAATACCTCCAAATTGCTACATTATTAAGCCTTCTGTTATTACATGTGAAGGGGAAAGGGGGGAAGTGAATTAAATTGAGTCCCTGCTGTTGCATAGCTCAGTCTTAGAAGATGAAATTATAATGGCTAATGTTTATTGAGCATACTCTAGACAGTCTATACTGTCTAGACAGTCTGCTAAGCGTTTCTTTTTGTCTCATAATTTAATCTTCATAAAACCCTATAAAATTATTATGTCTGTTTTTTATAGATGAATGAACAGGCCTGGCCACCCAGCTGGGGTTTGAACCCAGGTATATTTGCTTCAGGACCATACAAACTTAACCATTATGTTCCACCAGATCCTTAATATAACAATGAACATTGATAACACATGATCTAGGCCCATCTGAAGTGCTAAAAGGGCTATAGAGGAGAATACAACTTCATTGGGAGAGGGGATCACTATTTAGGGAAAGTGTGGATGTGAATTGTAGCTGGCACTTAGTTCATGATTTCAGGGGGATGGTAGCTAGAGATGAGGCTGGGAGGTAGGTTGGAGTTGTGGTTAAAGGAATCCTGTACAGCGTGTGAACATGTCTAGGATCAGTGGGACACTTGGAGTTTTGTTAAGAATAAAAAGCTGGTCAAATCCATTTTGGCATGATTATTCTTTGGCCACTTGAAGAGATCAGAAACTGTGGATGGGGGAATAGTGGAAGTTGTGTGATTGTTCTGAAGAAAATTGCATTATTTCAGGGGATAGCAGTTTAGGGCCAAAATTACTGCTTTGGTAAAGATGGGGACCGGCGGATAGGGAGGAAGGGAATTGGGACATTTCTTTGGTAGAATTGACAGGCTTTTATTGAGACAAGGCAAGAGTTAAGATCAATTTAGTTTTCCTACTTTGGATGATTTAATGACATCACCATCTATCAAGAGAAACCAAACAAAAAATAATTTTAAGGCATTTTAAGGGAAGGTTCCATTTGAGACTTGCTAAATTTGAGGTATTTATGACTGTAGTTGTAGGAAATACAGGGGATTGAGATTACAAAAGGAAATGTGAAGCGTTAAGAGCCATGAAAATGAAAGAACTAGTCTGGGAATATCTGTAGTTAAAATGATAAAAAACAGTGAGGCCTTGAAGAATACTGACTTATGAGCAAGAGAAAGTGACCTCACTGGATGGCAGTTACAAAGATCATAGGAGAATTAGGAAAGAAGCCAACAAAGAGAATATATCTAAGTTTTCTAAAACGAAAAATTGATGTATCTGATATTCTGTCTAGCTTTAGAAATCATTTATTTCATAGAGGCAAGATAATAGGTATGTCATGTCTTGTAATTTCATATTATTCTAGTATTCTAGTATCCTGTATCTAACTCATTGTTATATTTAGGTTGTCTATCAAACAGTGACTCATATTTATTTACCTTTAGCATTATAATCTCTTCTTTAGTACATATGCATGGAGATGCTGATTAGGTATTAACATGAGTACAATTAACCTCAGCCTTATGATTTGGTATTGATATAATTCATTGGTAGTACAGATTAGTGGTTAAGAGAATGGATTTTTTTTTACCATGATATTTTATGGATTTCCATTAACATTTATATATTATCATATTAGAAAAGAGTTTTATGCTTACTGAGATGGATTAACTTTGTGGTAATGATTTCTTTCAATTGTTATTTTTTTTAAGTATAGCACAATTTATTTCATAAGCATCTCTGGTACCCTAGATGTAGTTCTGGGGTGGAGGAAGGGGCAGATAAAATGGAGGGAGATAGGAAGTACAAGAGTAGAATTTATAGGAAGCAGCCTCGTTCAGAATCTACGGATTGACTATTGATTAACACTGCTTTATACATAAAGTTCTTCCATTCTTTTTGCTTATATGAATGACTATTTAACTGTGCTATAACTATTTTGGATTTGTCTTCTCACAAGTACCAATAATAGATGCCCAGGGTCTAGAAACTGGTGGTCAAGCCTTGACCCAGTGCAGCAGTGTACCCTACAAATTCTCTGATGAAAGATTGTTCAGTCTTGGCTGGATATATCTGATAATTGTTTTCCTAGGTCACTCCGATATCTGACTAAGATCTGTTTTCTAATTTCTCTTTTAAAAGCTTTTTGGATATAGCTGTTATTCCTGCTGTGTTTTGTCTTTCTTGTCCAAGGTCCTCTAACTACGCGTTGTGTTCTCTTTATTTCATCTCGCCATTAAGCTCATCTTAGAAGTTATTTTTCAACTCATTATCTATTTACATTCCTGACCAGGTTGCCATTTTCAATAATTTTTAAAGCCTTAATGTGTAGTTTTTAGAGTAGTTCCTTCATCACTTCATAATGCAATTATATTTTAAATGTAACTCCCATAGATTCCACTTTAAAATTCTCATATATATGTTCAAGTATATGAAATGTAAGATAAACAATGAATGTATGGTATTTCTTCTTTATATTTTTAAAGCAAATGGATCTTTTAGGTCTCATTATCAAATAGTGTATGAACAGGGTGAATATTAAGGAGTTACTCAGTATGCTAGGCCATGCCTATAATTACTTCAGAATAGCTTTATTCAGATTTTTAGGCAGTATTTTACTGATTTGTTATCATGAAATTTAAAGTACTATTTTTTTCTCTTTGTAAAGTTATACACATTGGCACATTTAAGAATAACTAGCTTCTAAAGGAAAAGAATGATAACCAGCAAGCATTTAGTTTTAATTTTCATAATTTTTCTATTTAAATCAAAAACACCCTTTTAAAGCCCCTAAATCAGCCTTTTATAAATAAAGTAAATCATCTTGTGATGCATTCCTTGATGATGGCTTATGTTGTTTTTCTAAAGAAAGAGTTTAATTAAGATTTGATTTTCTTCTATTCTGCACTTTGTTTATTCATCACTGAATCAAATACAGGTCTTTTATGTCACTGGTAAGTCTGACTTTTTGGGTCATTGATGACCACTGCAGTTTTTTTTTTTTTTTAAAGCAACTGAGTATTTATCTTTTAGGTGTGATTAGAACATAATAGAGCATGAACAGAGTGGGCTGCCTGTGACCTTAGCATGGGGTTCTGTCATTGTAGAGAACATTTCTGGTCAGTGGCCACTGCTTACAGTTTGTAAAAATCAACACAAATGTACAAATAACTCATGAATAATTGTGAACACAGTATTTGAATGGATGTTTAATAAATATGCATTAAAAATCTAATTATAGTAATGAAGTTTACAGCTGAAATTTTAATCCAGCCCTTTAGAAATATTAAATGTGCTTTTCCTGATTGTGCATTTTTCTCACAGCAGTTGGGTAAACATTTTAAACTGGAAATCTAAATTCCTTATATAGTTTTGATTTCATTTAACTAAGCATGTGTTCTTTTTGGCAACAATCTTCCTTCTTCTTTTATCCCATAACTGTTACTTTGAAGAATTTTGATCAGTTTTGTTTTAGGACTGGTGAATACTGGGATAGCAGAGCAACAGTAGAATGTAATCTGAAAGACAAGATTGTGATTGTGGTCATCCCTTAGTAGTGGATCAGTCATTTAATTTCCATTAATGATATTTCCATTTTCTCATCGCTAGAATGATATTCATTATCCTAATTCTGTCTTCCTCACCAGTCACTTGTGAGGCTCAAGTAAATTATTATATGAGAAAGTCCCTTGAAAACTGTAAGATGTTATATGGGATATATTAGGAGTAATTGAAATATCAATACTGAAATACTAAAAAGAAGTGATGGATTCCAATCAGTGAGCAGAAATGGTATAAACTCATCTCCATACAAATTAATAAAAAAATTTTTACTTTGAAGAGGATTCACTTATATATACAGTGGCAAAGCCCTATTTATTTAAGTGCTTTGAATTCTAGAAAGTGCAGTTTTGAGTTTTCTAAGATTGTGGAAAGGGCTTCTGTAAATAACCATGGAGAGTTTTTTTGATGATCTGAACTTAAATAGCTTTTTCTGGATATACTGAATACCTAGAGGTTCTCAGAAATTATGAATTACTGCTTTTATCATGATGCTTCAAAGTAAGCTGTTGAAATTTGGCTTTTACAGGAAAGTCATTATATGGTAAACTATATTTAGTTAGAAATGGGTACTGTTTTCAAAAGAAACTTACATAGTTATGAATTATTGTTGTGCAGCAAGGCTTGAAGATATTATTTTGTAGAATCAGAATATTAGATCTGAAGAGGATCACTGGTATCAAGAATAGTACTAAGATATATTTGGTTTTCAGTAGCCATGAATGAATGAGTGAATGAACAAATTTACCTATGGCTTTTCAGCTGTTTGTATGATAGTATTATTGTGAGGAGTAATAAAAGTATCCTGTGAAGTTGCTTGTCCTAACACACAATAGGTACTCAATAAATGCGCTCTGCTGTAAAAGACTTTCCTTTTAAATGACTTAGTTTTGATGATATTTTTAAAAAGTGGTTCATAATCAGCTTTTGTCCATAAACTTGTTTAAAAATTTGAAGGTTGTATATTTAGAGATCTTGCTTCAGAAAACCACCCACAAATTCACATATAATTTTCTTTTAATTTTAGAAAGCTTCCAGGCCTCCCTACTTCCTTACATCCCACCCAAAGCAAAGCTTGTCATGGTCCCTAAGTGAAGTTTTTGTTCAAGAAACCTGTGCTTATATAACAATTCTTGTTAGGGCAACTACTGACAATTTGCTTTTTCCTAACTTCTTTTGTAATTGTGTGATGATTACCTCTTTTTTTCTGTATTACAAGCTACCATGTGCCCTTAATAAGAGCATAATTATGGTTTATTATATTTATTAATGAAGTCAGTTAAGTGGAGCATATTAGCATAGACTAAGACAGCAGAACTTCAGAAGAATTTTGTTGTTTCAAACTTTTGTCTTGTGAAGAGAACTTAGGAATTGGGGCAGATTGCTTCTTTCCCTGCTGAAAGGGCTCCTGCAAACGTGGTCAACACTCCTGAACTCCACTACACCATCTGTAAGAAGTATGAAAGCACTAAACCCACAAAGTGCCACAGTAAAAGAAGGGCAGGATTCTTTGTATATCCAGGGAAAGTGGCCTCAGGGCAGGAAGCAGAGATCCTGTAGTGGGCAGACTAGACTGATTTCCAAAAACAGGCTAAAACTACAAAGGAGATTGTGGTGAGGCTTGAATGCACTGAGCCCAGTTGCACATGTAGAGAATGCTGGTCATCAAGACATGCAGGCATTTTGAAAAGGGCAAGTGACTTAATTCTAAGCATCATCTGTTTTATTATGAAGACAATGCTATCTATGTTGACCTAAAAACAGAAAAAAAGTGGAGGGGAAAATTAAAAAATCATAAATGTTTAATGTCAGGTAGGGGGGATTGGCTCATATTTGGTCTTGGGAGAAAAATAGGAATAATTGTTCAAGTACTAAAGTTATTGTAGTGTATCCAGATGCTAGGACACCACAATACTGACAGTAGGCTGTGGAACTTAGTGGGATTGTTCCAAAATTTACTTTAGGAGAAAATAGTGAAATAAGGTACAAAATTAAGTTGAAAGAACAGCACAGACTTTTTAGCCTGTAAAATCTTCCATTTTTATTTCTAGATTAGTGTGTGGATCTTCAGAATGGCATTTTCCCACTGTCCATTTGGAGTACAATAAGACAAATTAATATAAATCAAAATAATATGGCAACAGCATCACATAATTTGTGTACACTGATGAAGTAACAGATTTAATTTAGTGCAGCTTTTGAGAAGGCTTTTGTGTTTCAATTTATACAGCTGCTATTCAGGCCTGAGCTGGCCAATCTCTCAGCCTTGACTGTCTTGCTTGACTGATTTCTCTCTCGGTTTAAAAAAGAATCCTTCTCTCTCTCTCTCTCTCTCTCTCTCTCTCTCTCTCTCTTTTCTCTAGAGCAGCTTTAAGTTCATAGCAAAATTGAGAAGAAGGTATAGAACTTTCCCTTATGCCCCTACCACCCCCACAGATCTTTGCTCATTATCAGCATCTCTCATCAGAGATGTACTTTATTATTACTGATGGACCTATATAAACATATCACAATCACTTGAAGTCCATAGTTTATATTAAGGTTCTTTCTTGCAGTAGCACATTCTGTGGGAATGGACAGGTGCATAATGACATGTATTTACTATGAGAATGCCATAGAGTATGTAGCAGACACTGTTCACTGAAGAATATGGCTTTTAACAAAAAATCCCTGCCATCAGGAGGCCTCCAGGGTGGTGCAGGGTTTAAGTTTCAGCTCTGTCAAGCTAACACCAGCCACTGCAGCCTGAGTTCAGTCCAGCCAGAGAGCTGACCTACCTGGCTCAGCAGACCTGTCCTGTCTGCCTGCTATTCCCCTTAGCAGTGTATTTCAGCACAGCCACCTGTTCTGCTCCCTACTCTGTGTCTGGTGAATCCTCTCATATCCTCCTCCTTCTGCCTTCTGTCTGCATTCCAGTTCTTGTTCATATAAATTAAAAAAATATATATACACAACAAAAATCCCTGCCATCAAAGAGCATATGGAGACAGACAGAAAAAAAAAAGTAAAATATGGGGCATTTAGTATAACTAAACTTTGTGGTTCATTGTCATATATGTTAAATATGAAGATATATGTTATATTGCATATAAGTATAATAAATATGAACATAGAATAAACATACCAGAGTGTATCATGCATAGAAAGATCCTTTTTCACTAACTCAAATTTTTACTGAATCTGTTATTTCATGAAACTTGCTTTTCAGTTTTATTTATATGTGTTTATTGGGTCATGATGTGAAAAGAGATTCCAAAATTTGAAAGTCACTGATTAGAGGACATAGGAAGGCATTTAATAGTCCTGATGGAATGAGAAATAGCCCTTAAGTTATAACCTAAGTAAAGAGAAAAGATTTGGGGTAAATAAGTGAATTTGGAAGTGTTGTGTGAGGGGGGTTGAAGGATGGTGAGATTTTGTAGAGAGAAATTAGCCTGACAGAAGAATAAAGGAAGAGGATGTGAGTTAGGGTACCTATGTGAACAAAAGCATGGCTGTGAAATGGTGGATGTAAAATGTTTTTGAGACATGATAAGTATCCTGTATTAATTGATTCTACCTTATACTGTCTACTCTACCCAGGCTCCAAACATTTCTTTCATTGTCCATTCTAATTTAGGCCTCTATGATTTCCCACTTAGGACAGTTTCACAGTAAGTTTCTCTGGGCCCCAATTAATTTTAATTGTGATAGCTATGTAATCATGTATTACTGCTTCACATTTTTTTCTCTCCAGCCCCTTTTTAAAAAAAAAAAATTACTTTTGATCTTGCCCTTTACCCTATTGTATGTGGTGGATACTCCTTTATTTTTTGTATTAATAGATATGTTTTGAATATCTAGACATGCAGGGTGGGGCCCAAATATGAAAATACTCTGAACCCTAGAATAAGAATACTGTGTTGCAACCATAATAAACATGAAGAGAGAACACTTTGAAATACGTTCATTTAAGAGAGGCTAAAATTGTATATATTCTTGTTTATAGCCTATACAGTCCAGACACCTGAGGCCATGTCTCCAACTGCAGCTACAGAGGCTTATTCAAAAGCTTTGACAATTTGCCATGGACCGCTGGACCACTATGACTTTCTGATAAAAACTCAGGAGCTAAAGGATGATGAACATCAAAGAAGAGTCATTCATTGTTTGCAGAAATTACATGAAGACCTTAAAGGATACAGTATAGAGGCAGAAGGTCTTCTTTCAAAGGTGAGCTTTGTGTGATATTAAAGACTTAACAGTTAAAAGCGCAACCATTTTATAAAATTGATCAAATACAGTAGGGTCCGATCATAAAACAGCTTGAAAATTCCTCCAAATTTTAAAAAATATGCTCTGTTGCATCCCCATTCCTAATTTCTTGGTGTATTCACAGTTGTCTTCCACCTTCTGGGGCATTCTGGTACTTCTTATTTAAGTAATCATTGATGCAATCCACTATAAATTAAAACTTCTGCGCAATTCAGTTTTCCCCTCTGCCTATCACAGACCTAGTCTAAGATGAACAGTAGAGAAAGGGGAGTAGGAGTGATTTAGTGTTCCACTCTTCTTTCTTTCTCTGCTTGTCCAGCGTCTCAGGTCAGAATGAGAAGGATGAGTGATTACAGTGGAACAGCTGTTTGAAGATAGTAAGGGTCCTTTGTGTGATAGGTGCTGGTGTGCTTTTGTGCTACTTCATTGTTGAGGTGTGCACTGGTGGCTTTTTCAAGACTTCCCACTGTTCCACTCTGTCTTCTTAGGATTCAGGGGTATACCTCATACCACTGCATTCTGTTGGGGCTCCCTCATGATGCCATTGGCCTTGTAAGTGGGGTCCTTTTGGGGCAGATCTACCCAAGTCACCATTTATGGTGTCCAGGTAGCACAACATCTTTCGCCCATCAGCCCTGCAAGGGCAGTTTTGCTTAGCTGCCTGCTTTCTCTGGATAAGAGGCAGGCACCAGTCTCTCTGTCTTTGTCCTGTATGCCCCGTGCTCCTGGGGACACAGCAAGTTCTCCCATGGACTCTTCTGCACCCTGTTTTGGTACCCCTAAGCTGAGCAAGCATCCAGCGGGGAAGGAGATGTTTGTGTTGTCTACATTCAATCCTCATGTCTTTGGGTGCTTCTTTTGGAAACTCCTGCACTGGGAGAATAGCCACATCCTTCCTTATACAGCTAATAGAGCCACATCCTTATACAGCTAATAGCCTTCTACCTTGATCACTTTCTTCATTTCTGCTTTTATCTTAGGGCTATCTTTGCTTTCTCTCACTCTCTCTCTTTTTTAAAGTTTTATTTATTTATGCTAACAGAACTGGGATACAGGCCAGAGATGTGGAGGGTGAAAGGATTCACCAGAGACAGAGTGTGGAGCAGAACAGACAGAATGACAAAGTACACTGCTGAGGGGAGCAGCTGGCAGGTCAGGAGAGGTCTGCCATGCCATGTGGGTCAGCTCCTGGCCAGGGATTGAACTCGGGCTGCAGTGACTTTGGAGAACTTCATAGTGACCAGGGAGAGCCCTGCTTTTTTTCCCTTTTAAGTAATTTTTGCATGGCTGTGACTAAAAATTCTTTTTAGAGTGTAGGCGAACTATTTTCCCTTGTCCTTAGCTTTTGAGCTTTTTCTGAAATTCTGAGACAGTGGGAAAACTTTTATTCTTTATCTCATTGTAGAAACCAGTATAATTGTGGTGTCATCTTCAGACATATATAGTTACAAAATTTAGAATATGGTTCAGTCTGAGAAAATAGTTTTCCTTTAATTGACTGAACAGATCACCTCCCCTTTGCTCTCACCAAGCATTTTTTCTAAGCTCCTTAGAAAAGTTTCTATATGACATGTTAGTAGTACTTTATTTAAAAATACCAATAGAAGTAATTTTGCTTTTTTGAAAGGCAATTGAGACTATAATTAGGTAGTTTTATTTTTCATAACAAACAAGACTGTTATTGTACTAACAATTTCTGGGGACGTGTTTTGGTGTTATTTAGGATACAGAGTGAAGTGGAGCTTTAGAGTGGGCTGCGTGGTCAAATAGCAGTGAAGTGTGTCTCTGCTATGCAGCCTGACCTCACGGAGGCTGAGCCAGCTTTCTGTAGCACCATTGGCTCTGAAAACTTTGGCAGCTTGGCAGGTAGCAGTGCAGGCCTCCTGGATTCTCACTCCTGTGCTCTGCCAATCATGTAATCCTCTTACTGTGTTGTTGCTTTTCACTCACATCTGTTTCTGCTCATTTCACTAATTTCTAAATGCTTTCCCTATGTCTGTGTGTTAAATTCCTGAGTAGGGTTCTAATAGGATAACCAGTCGTTTCCTCTCTGTAGGGTAGAGCTTTCACAACAGCTTTTGCCCCCAAAAGATTGGGTCTCTGCAGAAGGTGCCAGCTGGCTCCTGTGAGCATGGCACTTTCCCTCAGAAGTGTGGGCATGGGAGTCCATGGGGTCCAGCATGGTAGTTAGAGGGAATCTTGATGAGTTATCCCTACTGATCACCAAATGTCCCGTTTCCCCCCAAATTTCCCAAAACTGATAGGTGAATAAAGAAATAAAAAGTTTGGAAAATAGAGACTGCTTGTGTTCCATATACTTAATTATACTTTACAGTACAGATGGTCTTCCAAATAAAATAACCTGGTTATGGCCCTCCCTGGTGACGTAGCGGGTTAAAGCACAGCACTGAGAAGCTAAAGCCACTTCCGCATGAATTTGATTCCCGCCTGCGCGGGAGGAGACCACATGGCACGGCAGACCTCTCCTGACCCGCCCGCTGCTCCCCTCAGCAGTGTACTTTGTCGTCGATCTGCCTGTTCTGTTCCCCACTCTGTCTCTGGTGAAGCCTCTCGCCACCCCTAAGCCTCTGGCCTGTACCCCAGTTCTGTATGCACAAATAAGTAAATCTTTAAAAAAAAAAAAATAACCTGGTTATATGTCAGAGCCAGGAAACAAGATGTTTTACTTAAGTGGATTTTTTTGTTATCTGAGTTAAATTACTTTCTTGAATTTGGCATTTTGCTCACTTTCTATTCCACTCCCTTTCCAAAATACAGTCCTTTTTTTTTACCCTCTTCCTACTGTGTATCTCCCCTAAGGCTCATCTTATAATGGTTGGTGAACTAATATCCAATTAAAAGTATCTTTTAATCATTAACTTATCTGGTTGCCAATTCAAGTATACAATGGCTTCTTTAAAATTATCATGTGGTTTATCTTGGAGTATTCTCCCACACTTTTTTCTTAACTGCCTATGATGGGTCTGCCTAGTGAATAACCCTGGCTTTATTATGTAATTGTAATCTTATGTAAGCAGGAGAGCTGACATGTTGGGTAGTTTCAAATGTGTCTAATGAAAGTTTATATTTGTCAAATTCTAATGTATATATGAATTAGTGTTAAGAAGCCTGATCAACATCTCTTTGAGCTAGTATTTGTCTTTTAGTTAAGGCTGCCAAATCTTTAACATTGAAAAATATGCAAACATCTAATGTAATTTGAGTAAAATATATAAAAGCTTACATTTTGAAGATTAGAAAGAAACCAGAGACCTATTTTTAAAAATAATACTGATGTGCAGATTATCAGAGAAGGAAAATTTCCCACTGGTAGAACAATTTATAGAGTTCTTGGATTTGGAAAATAGGATTTATGATTTTATGGGCATTTGATTTCTACCTGCCAGCTTCATTGAGATATTATTGACAAATAACATCAGTGAGTTTAAGTGTAAAATATGAAGACTTGATTCTCATAATACAAAATGATTGCCACAGTGGGATTAGTCAACACCCACATCCTCTCACATAATTCCCATTTTTCTTTTTTTGTGGTGATAACATTAAGTATATAAATCAGTATTTTAATTATAGTTACCATGCTATACATGAACTCTCTGAACTTACTCATGTGTTAGCTGGGAGTGTGTGCCCTTTGACCAGCATCTTGCCATTTTTTTCCCATGCCCCATTCTACTCTCTATTTTTAAGCTCAGCTTACTTGCTTATTTATTTATTTATTTACCTATTTATTCTATTGTGGTAACATTGGTTTACAACACTATCTGTGATTCAAAAGCATAGGATCACAGCTCCTCAGATGCCTGTCACCATACCATACCTATCATCAAGGTACCCTTTGCTGTCCACCATAGTCCATTTGGGAACTGAACTTTTTTAGAATTCTGCATATAAGTGAGAACCTATGGTATTTCCCTTAGGTTATATGAGTATTTGATTTTGTTTTTAATGGGGATGTTTAAATATTCATGATAGTCGACTTTTTTGTTTTTTTATTATACTCCTAAGAAATTTTTCAGAATGGCTAAGCTATAATATTAAAATAAAATATACCTTCATGAGATACCAGGATTATTAATTAATGAGAAAAAAATTGTTGACAGACTATTAGACTCTTTTCACCTACCCAGATAACAATGTTTCTGTAATTAAAATATGTAACAGTTATGAACAGATGACCATGCTATATGAGCAACAAACTATAAAAAATGAGCATTTATGAACACTTCACTTTTGTTATCAAATAAAACCTACAACCAGGTTAATATATGCATAATTGTTATTGTGCTGTGAGGTAATTAGGCATAAATGGTAAGTAGTTCATGTAAATCACTATAATTAGAATTACTTTTACACAGCCAAATCAAGCGTTTCTAGAGTCAGGGAGGGAGAGAATTAAATAGAGTGTGGAGTTACTCTGAAAATCGCTGTTTCCATTAATCAGGGATATACAGGCAAGCTAGATTTTTCATCTCATAGCAGGAGATGAAAATTCCAAGAGACCTAGGAATTGAGGTGGGGAGGGGTGTCAGGGAGCACATAACATTACTTTTCTTTTTCTTCTGCTTTCCACAAAATAATTTTTAGAATTTCCCTATGAGCAGTGACTATTTCCGTCTTTCTCTACCATCCTGTCATCTTTTATTTGGATACCTTCCTCTCACACCCCCCTCCCCCCACTCTGAAAAAGCCTTGAGTAGGTTTTAGAAGAGAACTAGCCTGCCTTAATTTAAGGTCTTAATCTCATGTACTGATGTTTCCTGTGTTCTGACTTCAGAGTCTGGGCACTGTGTGTGAGCAGTATACCTAGCAGTTTGGGCTGTGGACTTTTCTCTCAGGAGATATGGGAAGCCTCTTGTCTGGAACCTTCAATTATTTTATCATAGAATATTCAGAGATACTTCTAGCAATTCATTAGTTTTTTTTCTCAGTTCTTC